GGGGGATAATATCCAGTCTTTTGCCATTAAGTGTGACATTAGCTGTGGGTTTTTCATACATGCCCTTTAACAGGCTGAGAAAGTTCCCTTCTATTCCTTGTTTGCTGAGTGTTTTTATCATGAAGGGGTGCAAGGAAATTTTAAGATTAACATTACCTCCTATCATGCCCTTAAACCAAAACTAGTGTGAATTAGGACTTAATGCTAAAATCTGCCGTGTACTCATCCCCATTAGGAGCACTACCTGGAGAAAAACTGCCACTCAGACAGGGGCCACAATAGATTCGTGATACCTGACCTGCATCTTCAGGACTACTCATCAGTTCTCACGCTTGGCCTTTGTCAGCTCCCTCTCCTAATCCCCTCAATAACTCTTCTAACTCTCTATCATTCTCAAGCCCTCAACTGAATGCCTACCTCCTCATTCATGGAACACTGCCTTGCCTCTTAAAATAGCAAGAAAATTAAGTCCAGCAAAAATGCTGTATTTTTATTTCCCACATTCCAACCTAAATATCTACCCAATCCCTACCCATTCTAACTGTCTTTCCACAGGTCTCAAGGTCAACCCTTGTTCAAGGTCAGTTCTTCCACTGACTCTTAGACCCCAGCCCTTCATTTCTTGGTACCTTGTCCCATCAGTCATCTTTCTCTGGTAACCTTGATCACTCTTCCTCTTAATGAAACATTCCCCTCAGTCAATAAATAAACTCAATCCTCTCCCATATTAAAAATGCTGTTTCACATCCAAACTTCCAGAATAAGTAGTTTCCACTTACCTTGCTACTCACTGCTTATCCCACTGCAACCAGGTTTTGATCTTACCAGTCTACTGGAATTCCTAATTCTAAGTCTTTATCTTACTCTGGACTGTATTTGATACTGTTGATTTCACTTTCCTTCTAGAAAATACTCAGTTCTATGACAATTAGGAGCCCTTGAATGATGCTGAGAAAAGAAACAGTGGAAAACCAGTAGATGGCAGTGCCCCAGAAGACAAATGACATGACTAGTTGTAGCAGTAAATGCTACAAAGAGGCCTGCAAAATACGAATTGTACGTAAGATTTTGTAACTTGCTTTACTTTCAGTTAACAGTCTTACCATCTGCAAATATATGCCTGTTAAAAAGGGAAGACCACGAAAATAGTCACAATAATAGCAAACTCTGGACTATGAGATAATTTTCTTACTTTGGCCTATCTTTATTTTCTAAAATGAATGTACTAATTATAATAACAACAATTTTGGAGCCTTAATCATGTGTTAGACACTGCTAAATACTATACATGAATTATCTAATTCTCACGTTTTAATCCACATTTCATAATGAAGCTGATATTTAAAGCAATTAAGTAAATTGTCCAAATTCATGTGAATTATCTGTGCATTAAGTACTAAAGAATAACAGGGACTATTCTCTCCTGTCAAACTGGCAGATTAAGAATACTCAATGCTGTCGAGGGCTGGATGAGTAATAGAGTAACCTTGGACAAGTTATTTAATTTTTTCTGAGTATCTGTCTCGTCTTAAAATGCACCAAACCAAAACCTGACACTAAAAAAAGTAGTTGTTAACCAAAAGTTAAGCAGTTCAAACCCACCAGCTGCTCTGTGGGAGAAAAGATCTGGCAATCTGCTCTCATAAAGATTACAGCAGTTCTACCCTGTCATATAGGGTTGCTATGAGTCAGAATCCACCTAATGGCATACAACCCAAATGTCTAATATTAATGGAACTGCCATAAAAATTATGATAAGCTCATAAATTCCTTTTTATGAAATCATTAACAACTGTTTTTTCAACAATGTTTAAATTCTAGGGAAGATAGCTGTTTTACCTTTGAACTCCATGCCCACATTTCCAACAACCTCCTGCCAACTATTTCCCTGTAACTGTCTCACAGGCATCTGAAACATACAATCAGAAGAAAAATTAATTTCCTATGCCCCACCTCCGTCGAACGTGGCCTTCCTTTAGTGTTTCCTGCTTCAGTGAACTAGCGCCTCCCACCTTACTTGCCCTCACTGCATGCCCCCATCTCCAATGCCTGTTAGTATTATCTCCCAAATTTACCCAGAATCCAACCACTTGTATCCATCCTCACTGTCCCCACACTAGTCTTACCTGGACTACTGCAGTAGTCTCCTCACTAACTTCCAAGTCAACTCTTCCCGCCCCCCCCCAACTCCGAATAGGTCTTCACACTTCAACCAGAGTAATATTCAGAAATCCCCAACTCTGATTATATCTTTCCCCTTGAATGGCTTCTCGTTACTTTTCGGATATAATACAAAACTCTGGGCATGGCCCACAAACTGCATGATCAGGACTCCCTTGCCCTCCTGCCTAGTATTGTGGACGCCATGTCAGATTTAATAATTTGCCACCCCTTGCCCATCTCACTAAGCAGCCTTGGTGGCACAGTGGTTAAGCACTTGGCTGCTAACCAAAAGTCGGTGGTTCAAACTCACCAGCTGCTCCGCAGGAGAAAGATGTGGCAGGCTGCATCCGTAAACACTACAGCCTTGGAAACCCTATGGGGCAGTTCTACTCTCTCCTATAGGGTCGCTGTGAGTCAGAATCGACTCAACGGCAATGGGGCTTTGAGTCCCTCTCATCAAGCCAGTATCCTTTAATGTTAGTCAAACATTTATTTGGGGTAGATGGAGAGAATTTTATTAATTAAAAGTATATACAGAAACAGATTCACTTAACAATTCACTTCCTTTACAGCCAAAGCAGAGTCAAAGTTGTGAAATAACTTGGTAAAAGATTTCTCACTTCTAATTCTTATTCTCTCAGTAATGCGTGTGAGAAAGAATTTCTTACAACAGCTTCTTGGGAAGCATATTAAAGGGTTTTAAATTAAGTAACGAAATAATGCACTTGTTCCTGAAAAGCAGATTTATGCCATGTACTATTCTTGAAATTCTTGAGAATTTCAACTGACTAGAACTGCGTGCCAAATACCGTACTCAACAGACTACAAAAAAAAAAAAAAAAAAAAGCCATTGCCATCAAGTCGATTCCCATTCACAGCAACCCTACAGGACCAAGTAGAACTGCCTCATAGGGTTTCCAAGTAGCAACTGATGGATTCAAACTGCTGACCTTCTGGTTGGCAGCCAAGCTCTTAATCACTGCGCCAGGAGCCTTCCTCTGGAGGCTATAGTCCTTTCTGATGGGTGGTTCCAGTTTATATTTCAATCTGAGTTAACTGGCATATTTTCTGTTAATTCAGTTGCACTTTTGTGCCCCATACATATTTATAATCTGGACAACTCCCAGATCATTTACTCCTTAATCTGGCTCTGCTCCAGCCTCAGCCCCTGCCATTCTCCTTGCTCCCACCTGCCTCCAGGACTTTGCAGTTGCAGTACACGCAGCCAGCAAAGCATCTCCTCCTTGTCTCTTTAGCCCCACCTAGGAAATACCTACATCCTTGGTCCTCAGCTCAAAGGTCTCTTCCCAGGGACTGGTTACCAATAAACCAGGTATCCACAGGATTACTTGTGTTTACTAATCTGGAGTGTGCAATTTGACCTGTTTTTCACCACATCTTTGAAACGTGCGCAATTGTGCACTCCAGATTAGTAAGTAAACACCAGTAAACCCGTGTGTACCTTGCTTACTGATTAATCTGCCCCTATAATAACCCTTTCTCAAGAGATGTTTCTCATAGTTTACTTTCTTGGCATTTATTGGCAGACACACACATCCTTGTGTAGCTATCTGATTTCTATTTGTGTGCCTCACTAGATTACATACTTCATAGAGTTAGGCCCTATCATTTTTTAAATTACTATCTACAAAAGCAGAACTGTTCATAAAGTTTTCAATCAGCGTTTAACGAATAAATATAACAGTAACTGTAAACGTTGGGATACAAAACTATTTACCCAATGATCCCCATTTGGGAAGAAAATGAATTATGCATAGAAAAAAAGACAGGAAATGCACTAATTAAGAAGGCGAGGAAAATAAGTATATTTGCTTTAAAAAAAAATTAGGTGGAAACACAATAAGGCAATATAATTGGTAACTTGTGGAGTAGTAAAACAAAAAACCAAACCCGTTGCAGTCGATTCTGACTCACAGTGACCCTACAGGACAGAGTACAACTGCCCTATAGGGTTTCCAAGGAGCGCCTGGTGGATTCGAACTGCCGACCGTTTGGTTAGCAGCCATAGCTCTTAACCACTACACCACCAGGAAGCAAGAACTTTATAATGTATACTTTTTAAAAAAAAATTCGTCTTGATTTTTCAACCATTGGAATGTATTTCCTAATCAAAAATATTAAATATTTGCAAAACAGAAAATACACTAAAATATTAATGGTGATTATCTGCAGAGTGAGAGGAAGGTTTTGTTTTCTACTTCTACACTTTAAATTTCCTACAGTGAATATGAATAACTTTTATGATCAGAAAAAAAAAAAATCGTGCTTTTTAGAGAAGATCTTTGGCCACCTCGGAGGGAACTGTTTCCGTGGAGTCGCAAGGGCGGTGAGCAGAGATGCGAAGGCTGCCGCGACGAGGGTGATGGGATCGGTTTGTTTCCAGACGAGCGCGACTTGAGCACAGCAGGTTTGTGTGCTGCAGGGAAAGAACCAGGAGAAAGGGAGAGACTGAAAATGCGAACGGAGGAGGGAAGAAGCAGCGCCCGGCCCCGACGACCTCACTCTGGGGACCATTCGTAAGTGGGTGAACTCCTGTTCGGGCTATATATGTCTCAGAACTACGAGGAAGAGAAGGAAAAAGAGAATGATGGTCTGTTTTGGCTGCTACGGAGGAAAAAAAAACCAGACAGAGACGAACAGGCTTTCCACAAGCAGACGCTAAAGCGCTACCCGTGAGTGAAAGGACCACAGAGACACGAAAGCATCGCAAGGACTCCGCGCCCAGGCGGCCGCTAGGTAAACCCCGCCCATCGCTCGGGAGGAGCGGCGAGATGCACGCCGGAAAGGGGTTGCCTTGAGCTCACGCACGGTACCCTGCGCTGATCTCGCGAGAGCGATAGGGGGCGGCCGCGCAGTCCATGCAGGATGTGGTTCCTGGTTGCGTTTCTCCTGGTGAGCGTCGCAGCGCCGGGTAAGACCCCCCACCCCCACCCCCATCCCACTCTCGCCCCCAGTTCTTCGCCCTCATCCCTGCCAGTCTTCTTCCGTTCCCGACCCACCTTTCGGTACGGCATCAACTCCCTCCCTCCCCCCTCCCGGCCGTTGCCTCGGTCTCTTCCGGGAGCAACTGGTTCCTCTTTTTCAGAAGTCCGGTCGCCCGTTGTAAATGCCCTGGACTTAGAAGCGTCAGCCGCCGGAAATATGACCAACACTTCCAAGAAAGAAGAGACTTCTGCAGAAAGACACTCAGACAGCCACACCACGGAACCTCCGTCTAAGGAGGAACATTCCAGCACACCCTATCTGCGTCCGGCATCCACGAACGGCACTTCTGACAGTCCGGATCTGGAACAGACATCCCAGAAAGTCGACCCTGACAGGCCGGTTTCGGAACACGCGACCCTGAAAGACCCTACTGATAACGAGCAGTCCTCCATATCTGACCCGAACGCAGTACCTGACAAAGGAGACGATCAGCATGCTTCTAGGACAGAATCTGGGGAGAAAGTGTCAACAGACTCTGAGCCCGCTTCTCCCCAGCAGAAAGGAGAAGATAAGTCTTCAGATCTTGCTGAAGATGTGGAGCCCAAGGAGGCTGAAGAAGATGATGCAGAGCCCAAGGAGGCTGAAGAAGATGATGCAGAGCCGAAAGAGGAGTCCCCACCCAAAGAAGGGGTGTCAGGCCAGGCCTCCAGTGAGAACCGTGAAGGTCCACCTTTGGGTTCTATGAGTAGTGAGAAGGATGACCTTTTTAAGGACAATCCTGGAAGTGCCAGTGCAGAGAGCAGCCACTTCTTTGCATATCTGGTGACTGCAGCCACTCTTGTTGCGGTCCTCTATGTTGCCTATCACAACAAGCGAAAGGTAAGTCGAGAGTTGCCTTAGGGAGCGGAATGGGATTTCCTCCACTCTGAAATCTTGGTGTGTGGGCTAGTCTCCATCACTCATTGGCATGTGAGCACAGGGGTTTTAAGACAAACTTCAGTTTCTCCTCAGACCCTGCTGGGGCTCTTTACTCCTCTTATAGATCCTGTTTCCATCATGTCACCTGTTCCCTCTCAAAGTGCCCTCTGCTGTTGCATTGAGTGCCAAGTTAAGATGGCATCATGACCTGTCTTGAAGTGGGTTCTTCTCCCATAACCTTGAACTTAGAGCCTTCTCAGCTTCAGAGGACTTGGGTACATGACAGTTGATAAGTTCTTAGAGCCCTTGTGTTCTCATTTCCATTCTTGAGATGAGTGCTTCATTTCGAGCTTCCTTTCCCAAGCTTCTGTCTTCCATCTGCACTGGTAGAAAGAACGGTTTCAGTTACATAGTGTTCTACATCAACAGCAAGGAGCCCTGGGACTATTTCCTACAATGTGGGGTTTCTCATAACTGGAAGAAAGCCCAGAAAGTAGACAGATACACACACCTTTTACTTTACTTCTTTAGCAGGATTTGGTGTGAAATGACATTCCTGGCCCTTAGCAGCCACTTTGATGACTAAACGATTGCATTTCCTACTGAGACCTATGAATTTGAAGATAGTTTCTGTAGCCTGGTGTCTTAGTTATCTAGTGCTGACGTAATAGAAATACCACAAGTGGATGACTTTAACAGAAGTTTATTCTCTAGCCTTTCAGGAGAGTAGAAGTGCAAATTTAGGACGCCAGCTCCAGGGGAAGCCTTTCTTTCTCTGTCAGCTCTTGGGGGAAGGTCTTTGTCATCAGTCTTCCCTTGGGTGGGTCTAGCTGTATCTCAGCACAGGGGCCCCGGGTCCAAAGGACGTGCTTCCCTCTTGGTTTTTCATTCTTGGTGGCTGGAGGTCCCACTGTCTCTATACTCCATTCTGTCTCCTTTTGTCTCTTATAAGATAAAAGGTGATGCAGGCCACACCCCAGGGAAGTTCCCCTTACGTAGGATCAGGGCTGTGACCTGAGTAAGGGTGTTGCCTCCCATCCTAATTCTCTTTAACATAACCTAATCTTGCCTCATTAACCACAGGCAAAATTAGGTTTTACAACACATAGGAAAATTACATCATATCACAAAATGGTGGACCACAATGCAATACTGGGAATCATGGCCTAGCCAAGTTGACACATATTTTTAGGGGGCACAATTCAGTCTGTAACACCTGGTTAGAATCGCAGAGTCAAATTCATGATGGCAATCAGCCTATAGCTGTGAGAGTGAGGTAGGGCTTTGAGTTGCAGTGTGCATCCCTTACTCCATATCTAGCTGATCCAGCTGTTCAGCACGGATAGTAACCTTAGGAGTGGTGTGAGGGTGGGAAAGTTAAGAGTGCAGTTGATGAAGAAGGTAGGTATGGGGTGAAAGTGTACATTTAAAAGTATGAAATAATTATTGATAATGATTAGGAAAAAAACCATGTCCTAGCCTGGAAAACTCAGGAGCTCTCTGGGGAGGAGCAGGCAGATCCATCAGTTCAGTAGCCTTGGACTGAGAGCTCGTGAGTAAATCATACAGACTCCCACAAGGGTAGTCCAGAGCAGCCTTCTTCCATCTGTTGTTTCCTTTTAAGCAGGTATATAAATGAGCCAAAGAAGAACTCTGTATTAGCCCCAAGTTTATTTCATAACAGGCTGGGGCTTGTTAGCTCAGAAAGCCTACCTGTTAGCCCAAAAAACCCACCAGCACCAAACTCATTTTTACGCATCTAACTGTTTTTAAAGTAGCCCAAATAAGTGGCTGTGTCGCTTCTTAGAGCCTGCCTGTTTTACATGCCCTGTGAAACTGAACCCAGTATCTACCAGCCCCTGTTGTTGTTAGCTGCCATCAGGCAGGCTCTGACTCATGGCGACCTTGTGTATAACAGAAGGAAAGGTTGCCAGGTCCTGTGCCATCTTCATGATCTTTGATATGTATGAGCCCGTTGAGCCCTAAATAAAATAAAATTTTATGTTTATAAGGACCCCAGGCTGCTAGTCCCCTTCAGAGTTCTCAGAAGGACATGGCCTAGGTGCACTTAACACCTCCCCCCCCCCCCCGAGTAGTGTCTTGCCCTCTTCCCCTTCTAGTGGCTCCCTGCACTGCTTGTCTCTGGAAGACCTGCTTTTGGGGGTCACCTCAGTATGCAGCTACCACTGCATCAGCCCTGTTAAATAGTTTGTTGTGCAACACTACTATAATTGTTCTCTTTCCTTTCCCCAGATTATTGCTTTTGTCCTGGAAGGAAAAAGATCCAAAGTCACTCGGCGGCCAAAGGCCAGTGACTACCAGCGTTTGGACCAGAAGGTAAGGAAGGAAGAGCTAGGGCCACGGGAGGGATGCACAGCCTCAGATGGGTCCAGCAGAGCTTGCATTTGGCATGGCAGCAGCAGATGACTCTGGGGGTGCTTCTACTCTTGTCCCGGCCCTTTTTAGACCACAAAGTAGAGACGTTCATATATACATATCTACAGTGATAGAGCTAAAAGTGACCTTGAAGTAATCTACAACAGCTCCCGCCCTTGACACAGGAGAAAACTGAGGCCCAGAATCTAAGTTCCCACTACAAGTTGGCAGCAAGATCAGGTCCTGATAGCAGCTCCCTAGGTTCCCGGTCCTGTGCTTTTTGCACTGCACCAGCTCTTCACAAATGTTAGTAGGCATACGAATCACCTTGGGATTCTTGACAAAAAGCAAATTCTGATTCACTAGGTATGGGTGGAGGCTATGCAGCTACATTTCTGAGAAGACCCCAGGTGACATCAAGTGCTGCTGGAACCACACTTTAAGTAGCAAAGCACTAGATTCTATTCCCTGAAAACAAATGAGGCCCGAGCACATAGGCCTCCAACTCCCCCAGATCAGCCCGGTCTTAAGCAGAGACCTTCAGACCTGTGGACTCAGTTTCCTGACTGCAGCAGCCCATAGCCTCTGCCAGAAAGAAAAGCCCTCCTTCCATCCCACAGCAGCAGGAGCTGAGCCAGGGTCTTCCCGAAGGCTACCTGTATCAGCGGGAGTAGTGGACTCCCACCACATTGCTACCCCACACACTCTTCCTTGCTCCTTCTCTTTAGCCACAGTGAGGACATTGGCAAAGGACAGTTAGGGCCCAACTGTGAAGTGTTCCAGGCTTCCTGCAGGGAACAGAATTCACGTGTACAACGTGTACCAGCTACAGAACCAGCCACTCAGCTCAGAACGTCTTTGCTAGCTAGCCCAGCAGGTTAGCTTCACAGTTTGGTCCTGGCCTAGGCCTAGTATCTTCCTAGATAATTGACTTTAAGGATTTTTTTTTTTTTTTTTTTTAAACTTCAGCATAGGGTTTTTTTTTTTCCTAATTAAAAAAGTATACACATGTAAATCATTCAGAACAATACAGAATGGTATGAAGCAAAAAGTGAAGCTTCCCATATTCCCTCCCCCAAGGATATCTCCTTCTAGTCTTGTGTACATTCTGTTTCAAACTGACTTTTCAAATAATTTTATACGCTTTTACTATTATTAATTGCTGTTTGGTGGTGGGTCAGTTTGTCGTAATTCTGAGTTTTTTCCCTGAACTGCATCTTTTATAATTTTTTTCTTTTTCCCCCAAAATCAAAGCAATAAAGGATCTTCCTCTGGAAAATGGTGATCATTAACAATGGCTCATGTTGCTGTCGTTTCAGATTTGATTTTTTTTTTTTCCTGGAGAACCTTGTCCTCCCTGCTGATTTGTTTGTAAAATCAAGAGAAATGAAGAGAAAAGTACTGTGACCTAAGAGACACCTCCTCCTCTGGGATGTGGTGACAAGTCAGGGCTGGCGGAGGTGGGGGAATTGCTTGGGTTTTTGCACCTGCACTTTGGTGACGTTGTGCTCATGTGTTCTCTTTATTTATCCTTTACCCCTCTGAGTGTGAGTGGAGGGGGCAGATGGGAACTCAGCTGTGACCAAAGGGAGACCCCAGCCCTAGGCAGGCGACTGCTGTTGACCACCTACCCTTGGGCCTTGGCTCTGTAGTAGAGGTTCCCCTTGACAATAGCATTGTGCTCGCTGCTATTTCTCTTTGCAGACCCAGGAGCAAACTCTGCAGGTTCAGATACTTCTTGACCAAGGACTGTTACTTGGGGGATGTTCCCTTCAAAAGACGTAGAAGATGATGAATGCTGATGGGCAAAGGGCTTCTTTGAACACATAATTCTCTTCAAAGGCTTTAGCAGCTAACCAGAACAGCAAGTTGAAAAAGTGCTTTACTACCTGCTAATCCAACCTGTGTAGCATAAGTTCTTCACATTTTTCTGATATTTTCATATAATTTAGGACAAAATGAATCAATTTCTGTTTGGTAGTACCAAGAAAGAAGCTAAACTTGGTGTTTCTGGGCGTAAAGCTGTGAAACCCTGTTCCCATTGTAGATTTTTTAAGTGTGGTTATGATTGTTGATACATCAACATCATCTTCCATGCTTGCAGTCTTACTCAGTAGGGACTTTTTTAGGTAGGGCAAGTTCATGCTTCATGCAGGAAAACAATGTAGAAGAGTTTTGGTTTATGTCTACATTTTCTTAAAGGGCTTTTGTGAAACAGGTTTCCCACAAACAAACTCCGTTTGCCTTTGTCACCTAAAGTAAAAACAAAACAACAAACTGAATTCCGTGACCATTTTCCCATCATCAGATTGTCTTCTCATCTGATATAAAATGCCAAGGGTGATTAGTAAAATTCTTCCATCTCATGTCAGGGGACGTTAAAATTTAAGAAATTCCCTGGGCTTCCCCTGGGGTAGTGAGGGTAGTGTCTTGGACTGCGCTGTTTTTGAAGTTTTGTTTGAATCTGTTCTAGTCTTGCTCCCCCATTATACAGAGCCTAAAGAGAGTTCTTTCTGCAAAGGAAAAACTGAAGTAGAATAGCTAATCTCAGGGAAATGCAAAGAATGTGGGAAGTAAGGGGAAAATGATGAACTCTGTTGAGGAAGTCAGTCTGAAGAAGGGACCACCCTATTTGTCCTGTTAGCTTCCACCTTGCTTAAAATGGCCCGTGGCCTTGAGTTGAAACTTTCATTCCTGGCTGGTAACCTACTTCATGAAGATAAGGAATGAACGAATACTCCTCTGGGCATCATCTCTCTGTTTGTACACCAGTCTTACAATACTTTCCTCCAAGCTGAAGAGTTGTCTACCAAGATCTTCTAGCATTCCGTAAGACCTTGGTTATTTTATTCCCCTTTCTCTCTCCCTTCCCCTACTCCTCTGCCTTCCCTTCTCTTCTCTCATTTTCTATGTGTGCCTATCTATACTAGCACCTTTCTTTCTTTCTTTCTTCATGCATGCCCAGATTTCCACCCCACTCCTACTCCTGCTTGTATCCATCCTATTTGTTATTCCTTCTAGTTGAATTTCTCCACTAACTGTTGCTTCCATTATCATACCATTCACTCTCTTCATAATCTTTGCAAACTCAGTTCCTGTCTTTCTACTAATAGTGTTTTTCCAAAGGTTACCAGTTACCAGGTCACCAAATCCAGTGACTTGCTCTCAGAGCTTAGTCTTGTCCATGATACAGTTGGACACTATTGAGCATCCGAATTAAAATTCCCCTCTTTTGGTTTCTCTGACAAACTGTCCTGGTTTCTAAGAACTCCTTTGCCATTTCCTATGCTGGTCGGGGAGAGGGCTCTCAAAGGCAGGTCTCTGTTTTGACAGTCTCCTCAGAAATTCATCCATTCTTCATCCTCTGAGTGAGTGACTCTCGAGTCCTTATCCTTGGCCTAGTTCCCCAAAAAAAACCAGTCTTACTGTGTGCTGAATTTCAGCTTGGTTGTCCTGTTGTCACTAAAACTGAATTTCTCTCTTCTACCATTAAGTTGTTCCTCTCAACTGCCCAATTTTTTTACCCATCTGAGCTCAAAACTGCAAACTTCTACGATTTTTCTCTCTCATCACAAAAATCTTAACCGTTTTTCTCTTAATATCTCCAGGTATAAACTTTCTTTCCATTTTCATTTCAATTGCTTACCTCTCGCCACATTCCTGCCCATTTCACTTCTCGCCTGGACGTCTCCCCAAGAGCCACCTTAACCCGTTCTCCTGTCCCTGCTCTCTCACGTGCATAAGGAGACAAGATTGATCTTTCTGAAATACTTGCCCTGTTCTGAAGCTTCTGTCTGAACCTCTCAGGGCTTAGAGAATCAAGTTATAGACTCTTTGGTATTCGGGAGTCTGCAGATTGGCACCTTCCTGCCTGTCTTTCTCTGCATCCCAGTCAGGCAAAAGCCCCCTCTTTTTGGATGCCCCTCTGTGCGTCCGTGCCGTGTTCTTGCTGTGTTCCATGACCTCTTTGGTTGTGTTAACTCTCCTTTCTCTTCTTTTTTTTGCCTTCCCGAAATCTACCTGTTTCTTCATGGCCCAGCTCAAGTTTTCCCATGGATCTTCCTAACTGCCCCGCCCCACGTGATTGGCTCTTTGCATTCTACTCTAATAGCTCAGAATAATGCCATTCATTCTGGGACTTGAGCAAACCAGGGCAGTCAGTATCTGATGTCTTTGTGGTCTCCCCAGGAAAATTAATCTGCTCAAGGGAGAGCCCCTGGCATGGTCTTTGTATCTGCCTAACATAAAAGTGACATTTCTTAGGTATTTCAGGAGTTCAGTTTCTTCTTGCAAAGAAGACATTTTGTCCATTCGTGACATCTCAACGTGACTTAACTGAGGTTTCATGTGCAGTGCCTTCTGGCTACAGATTACTATGGCCTTATACATGTTGGATTTGTTCTTAGAGCAGGAAGAGAGCAGGTCTCAGGAACCGAACGGTCGACAGTGAGTGGACACATATGTATGTCATGCAGTCCACAATAGTCCAGCTTCTCAATAGCCTCTGAGAAGTAGTGTTCTTGTGCTGAAAGAGTACCTAGAATTTAAGTGCTGCTTCAGAAATTTCACTGAAGGAAATATTTCACACCAAAGGAAAACTTTTTTCTAGCTGATCGTCTTGTTTTGAAGGTAGAATATTTGAGGCATGTTTTCCTACAGATTATGTGGATGAAGGTGGGCTGGCTGAAGCATCTCTCAAGCCTGGTTTTGGGAGGTGAGGGGTGTGTAGCAGGCACATGGAGCCATGAGAGGTATCCCTATCTAGACAGCCATGTGCCTCCCACACCCCCCTTCCCTGCCCCAGCTTTTGGCTGAAGGTGATTTCTGTTAGGAGGGATCTGTACTTGGGTCACGGATGTCAACAGAGGAGCCTCTTTTCCTGATACAGATTACTGAGTAGACTTACTTTAAGAGTTCGCTTTTGGACTCTGCGGGAGTCGAAGGCCAGTGTATCTAGAAGTGCAAAGTCAACTCGGAAAGACCTGACAACTAGATAGGTATTTCTGACATTTCTTTTCCCTTAATGGCTTTTAACGCAACATTTGGTAATAGAACTCTTACCCCTAACATTCCCCTGATGGTGATTCTCATATTCTCCAGTTTATGTCATTTAAATTAAACAAAGGAAGCCTTAAAAACTATCGAATGGGAAACTAGTTCGCTCTGTAAACTTTCACGTAAATCACATTAAAAAAATAAAGGAAGCCCACCCTTGTTTTTACAGATGTGTAATGCTGCAGGTGTGGTGAAAGTTAGCTTTGCACATGTTCTCAATCATTTGAACACAGGAGAGAGTGCTGTACATCAGATCCTGTGATTCTGCCAGGCTGTTCTCTGAAAACTTTTGGCTGGAAAGGATGAATTGGGCATTGCCTTGCTTAAGTAAGCCTCTTGAGAGGAGACTTTCAGGCTTAATTGAACTACATCCAGAGTCAAGACTGAATTTCAACGCAGCTAGCTCCACAAGTCAGGTGTGAGTTTCCTAAATATTCCAATTTAGACACTCTTCTGTATAGGGTTTGGGTCTGAGCTATACGGTAGTTCAAGCTACCAACAAATTCAGCCACCTCACACTCTTTGATAGATATTCCTTTGATTCATAAGTCTACCTTGTTAAATAAATGATTGAAATTGTTGCCATTCTTTTTTTTTTTTTTGCCTAGTTAGTCGGTTGCCACTGTTTTGCAGTGTTTTGTATTTTCAGCTTTTCTGTAACTTAATTATGATTACTTAATCTTATTTTTTAAAGCTGATTTGGTCTACTGATAAGTATTTTTCAGTACATAATATTGTACTAGCTTCTGTGAATGCCATCTCAATGTAGTATTGTATCATACAACAGAAAACAAAGCAATTTTCAAATTGTAAAGCTATAAATGATTCAGTTTATTAGTACTGCATTAAAATTGAGTAAAATTGGTGATTCAGTTTAACATAAAGCTTTTTTTTTTAAACCTTAAACCTTCGTTTACCTTCCCATCCAGTCTCCATACATCCACCAGATAAACTGCCAACACAACTCATGAGCGTTTTCGTTCTCTGATCGTGACTTGATTTTCTGCCCCCACACGCCTCCATCTACCAGGCCCAGGTCTGGGAGGTAGCTGGGCCCTCTGCCACAGCACATTCAGTTACCTCTGCTTGTCTTCTGCTCTGCCCTTGGCCTGGAATGCCGTTTCAATCTGCTTCTCCCCTACAAAGTCATCTTTCCAGTCCTGTACCCTCACTAACATCACCTTTCCCCAAATATTTTGGAATATAAGCCTTGAGGCTTGATGTGGAGAAAAACAGGTGGAATTGTGCACTATAGATTAATAAGCACAGGTAAGCCTGTGCATACCTTGCTTATTTTATGAGGTGCTCCGTCCTTATGCCTTATTACCCCCAAAACCACACAGAGCCTGCTACAGACATTTCCCTGTTCTCTGAAAGAGCCATTGGAACCAGCAAAAATGGCATCTGGAGCCCTCTGAACCTACAGAACCAAAACCATGCCTAGACTGGGTCTTCAGTAGGGATAGTATGCTTTAAAAGTTATAAAAGATAATCCGCATCAGCTAGAAGAGCTTCACTTTAAGACCTGTGATCTACCCTGGGCCTGCGGGTTGGAGCTTTGCTCAGAAAACCAAAACAAGTGCTTTATATAGGCAAGGCACTAATGCAGAAAGGTACCCTAGCCACGGGGCAAATTCCTCTGACTCATCCCTGACGCAGCTACTTCTGTGCCTGGATCCTTGAGTGAAGCTTCTTAAGGTCCAAGTACAAGTTGCGCTTCAGGATGGCGCCACTGCACAGCATGGCCCATTGCAGGGCCCCCATCAACCCGCAAGTGAAGACGTCCTGGCCTAGAAGGCAAGAGCAGAGGCCCGTCGGCATCCACGCAAACAGAGGGGGAGGACAAGGGCACTCACGTTCCTCCCTCTGAGCTAGGGCCACCCAGAGACTAGGCTTCATGTCGGGAGGAAGGCGCACGAACTGCAAGGCATCCCAGTTGAGAGCATGGGAGGCTGCAGGAGCCTGCAGTGCACGAGGACAGAAACAGAGGACTCTGGGTGACAGGGTGGCCCACGGTGTCAGGTCCTGGCAGAACAGGGCAGTCAGTGTACCTGTCAGGTAGAGGTTGGGGATGGGGCTTTGAGCCCTCATGGAGGCTATCAGATGAGGATGCAGGCGGTCGAGGTCATGGTCAGCCCCATAGCAGGCACCTCGTGGGGCAGCCAGATAGAACTGACTGGTCAGTGGGGATCCTCCAGTCACACTGTCCACCTGAGGAGGCAAAAAAGGTGGCCTCGGCAGGAGTGGGACCTGCCGAGATTCTTCTCTTCCCCTTTTCTGCTCTCCTGGAGCAGCCTGCCTGCCTGCTGAGCGTCCCTGGGACTGTTATCTCCGGGCTTTATTCCCTGCCCTAAGGAAAGGGTGGAAATGGCACCAAGAGGTCTGTCACCACCACTGGATACTCTGTCCTCCTACCTGCCCCTCCAGCTGGGGGAAGAGCTTCAGGACAACCGACATAGCAGCTTCAACAAAGGCATTTTTGAGGGTCTCAGTCACTGCTCCGCTTTCCCTGTGGCTTTCTTCCTGCCACTCAAACCACTCATAGGCGGTGGGTATCAGCATGTTCATCGTGGACCGGTCTAGGGTGCAGAGCCAGGGTTACTGCTGCCTGGTCCCTTCCCCGCTCCTGCCCCCTCTCCAGCAGGCCCCCACGCCTCACCTGGGAATCGGTCCTCCCACGTCGGGTCCTTGGTTGATGGGAAAGAAATGAAGAAAACGGCAGATGTGTGCCGCACGCAGCCTTTTCCCTGGGCACAGAGAGGTAGTGCTCCATCCTGTGGGTGACAGCAGTGGCTGCAAATCCCTGTCCTCGTTCCTCCCAGCCACCCCAGGGACAGCTCACACCCAGGGACTCACCACAGTGATGACAATGTGGTACTGAGGAAAAAGCCCTTCAAGGAGTAAATTCCTGCCCACTCCTTCTCATTCCATGAGGCAGCAGGGGCCCTAGGGGGCCGTAGGCTAGTTCTGACACCCGTCTGTACGCACGCAGACACACATACCTTACGCCTTGTCCATGTCTATGTCAAAATAAACATAGTAGTTGGTGGACTCCAGACCCAGGTCCTTCTTGTTGCCTTGTAGGCAGATGAAAACATAGAAAATGCCCAAGCTGTGCCGCACCATTGCCAGCCGTTTCTTCACATCTATCATAGGGAGTGCGGGAGGGCTGCGATGACCTGTGGCCAGAAACTGCCATTGCCTGTGCCAGGAGAGTCTGTTGTCAACTCCCTTTATCTACAGCCTTCTCCTCAGCTGCCTGCCTCAGGCCCAGCCCATTTTTACAGCTCTTATTTCAACATTAACTTGGCAGGGCCTGGTCTTCGTCGGTGGCCTGCCTGTGAAGCACACAACCGCAGGCTCCTACTCTCCCACCTCCACCTACTTCTGCTCTAAACACCTTCATAAGCAGGTGACGCCCAGCCCCTGGGCCCTAACCTCCTTAGGCTGGCTCACAGCACCTGTAGGACACAGTCTCAGGCCAACTGCCTCCAATCCTCATGACTCAGCAGGAGGAGGAGGGAAGAGCAGCACTACGGAGGAAGGAACCACTGTGAGGCCATCCCATGTCCCCTGGACCCAAGCAGCTGGGCTTCCCTACCTCTCAGCTACAAATGACCCCAGACCAGTTTTCTGGAAACTGAAACCCACAAATGCTTGTTCTTTATTTCCATTCCAAGGAGCATCTCCAGAACCTGCTTGAGGGCGAACTCGGCCACTGCCCTGCTTCATGCACTTAACAAATATTTATTAACCTGAAATGTTCTGGGCCCTCTGCTAGGGATACCACAGAGAATCAATAGACATGATGCCTGCCTACAGGAAAAGAGATTTCTCTGAAAGAAGTTGGCTATCTATCAGGAGCTACAAAAAACTGAGTGCCACAGGTAGGGTGCCCATATAATCTATCATCCAAAACACCCTTGAGAGTGAAACCAAAAACCAAACCAAACCAGTGGCCGTCGAGTCAATTCCAACTCATAGCGACCCTATAGGACAGAGTAGAACTGCCCCATAGGGTTTCCAAGGAGCGGCTGGTGGATTATTAATAATTACATTAGGAAAATAGACATAAAACTTAGACACCCAGCTATGGGAGCATACTGAGGAGGGAAGGGGAACATGGGCTTTCTCTGACCCCTCCCCCCAGATCCCATGTAGATCCTGAGGCCCAGATGCTCAGCCTGTCACCTTGCCGAAGGCAGAGGGACAGTCACAGTAAAGTGCAGAGGACTGCCCTCACCTGGTGCTGGAGCTGCAGGAGCACCTTCTCCCCTGGGTCCCAGCATCCAGGGGTAGGCACACTGCTGGCACCCCCTCTCCAGGTGGGATGGGAGGTTGGCATGAAGGGAACAGGAGCCCAGGAGTGGAACCCCTGGGTCTTCAGAGGCTGCTTAGAAAGCAGCGCCCTCCACCTAGCCCCTCCCTCCACCTGTCCCTTTCTCCTCTTTCCCAAGCTAGAAAGGGCCTGGGAGCCACAGACCTTCCTCCCCAAACCATCCCCAGTGACCCCTCAAGGCTCAGCAGTGGGATTTAAGAAAGGATTTCCCTATTCACAGAGACTCCCCTACTTGACCACCCCATCTCCACCCTCAACCCCAACTGGCTCAGCCTGTTCCAGAGGCCACCTGATACCTGGTTCCCATCCCTAGGAGGTAGATAGAACTGTGAGAATCCCCTCCCCCAACCAGCTGGAAACGAAGGGCGTCCTGGCACCTGGGATCTCTGAGTTAAGTCTCATCACCTCACCATCACTGCCTGAAGTGCTCTCAAACTGGGATTCACCTGGGGCAGCACCCAACCCCCCACCCAAGACGGGCAACTGGTCCTTCAGCCAGCTTGGGCTGGCACCATTAGATTGCTTTCAACGGAAGATACATAAGAGCATGAAAACTGTAGCTGGACGAGGGGAGATCAAGCTGAGCAGGTGACTGGAGCATGGCTGCCTGGGAAGAGGCAGGATGAGGGGAATGCTGGGGCCTCTAGAGGACAGTGGCAGGGCTCATTGTCCTGGGCTAGAAGGGAAAAGGGAGGAAAGGGTTACAGAAAGGGAGGCAGGAAGTACCAAAGGCAAAGTCTGTGGTCCTCCTCACAACCTGCCCCGCCTTCCTGTAACTGGGCAGTCTCTGCCTCACCCCACTCAGCTCACCCAGTTGGACAGCTAGGAGGCCTCTGCTAAGTGAGGCAAAGGTACTGGTTTTCCATGGCACACATCCTATACCTCAGCCACCTCACCTACCCACCATGAAGAAATCCAGGACCTCACTTTTCTACTGAACCCACTGTGCTGCCCACTTTCCCCAGCTCCGCAGGGAGCAGCCCATGGGGCCCACCACGGGTGGAGAGCTCCTCCCCACTGCTTCCTGCACTCCTCGTCCTCAGCCCACTAATATCCCTGGTGTCCATCCCACCCCAGCCAAAGCCTTTATCTAGACCCCTCTCTCTTACTCCTGCTGGATTGTTGGTCCCCTCCTGGCCAACCAGCCTCCTTTCCTCACATCACACCAGTAGCTTCGAGTTACATGACAACCTGAGTCCACTTCAACATGGTAACTTCTCATCTAGCTTTGGCTCGGCTACTTAGACCTTGTGGGCTGCTCCTGCTCTCCTGCCCCGTTTGGTGAGGCCGTTGCTCTAGAGTGCCCACACTTCTCAGCCCAGGTAGGGTACAAAAAGCCTAGACTTTCGAGTCATACAGACCAGAGTTCTCATCTCAGCTCTGCCACTTTCACTGAGTGGCCTTGGGAAGTTACTTGACCTCTATGGGCCTCAGTTTCCCCAACCATAAACATTAGGATGATGATATCTCTTTCTCTGGTGATTGTGAGGATCAAATACAATGACAAAAGTTGAGCCTCTCACATAGACTTATCCATGGTACGCCCATAAATATACCCACCTCCCCTCCACAAATCCAGGCTTTTATTTTTAGACACAGCCTGTCAGAGATGACTGCATTGAGGCTTATTTCTACCTGGGTACCAGATTTCAAGCATGGGGCTCAAGAAACAGAAGAAAGCCAGAAAGGTACTCTGGCAAGCTCAGCCCCAATAAGGAGCTGGGTCCTGAAAGAAGAAAAACATCCCAAATAAAGCACACACCTATTATATCTATCCTTTCTTCTCCACATCAGTGTTGCTTCCCTACTGATATTACCAGATCAATCTCCTCTATTCAAAATAAATGAGAAATTAAGAAAGAAAGTGGAATTCACACTACAAACTCAGTGAAAACCCAAGAAATGTTCCTTTAGGACTCTACTCACTAACTATTAAAAGATGATCTAAGATCTAGAGAAACTGGAAATGGGCCACTTGGAATGGAGACTTAAAAGAGGAGAGGGAAAAGTGGTTGAGATTACAAGGGGAACGGGTGTAAATATGCCAAGAATGAAATGAGAGATAAGGACCAAAGAGTCTTTGGGGATGATGGAACAGAAAGGAACTTGTTTCCAACCCCTAAACACAGAGGCTTGCTGCAAACAGATACCATTAGACACCAAAATTCTCACCTTTTCTGCTTAAGGATAGTCAGAGGGTAGCTGGTTTGGGAAGCCAAGAAGAAGAGAGAAAGCATCACACAGGCTGAGCAAGATGACTCCAGAAGGGGAAATGCTGGAGAACTTGGAAGACAGCAACGCAGACCAGTCTCTTACCTGGCAGATAGCGGGCATGCTCTGGCAATAAGTGCTCGTAGGTATTGAACAGCCCTGCATTGGAGATCACGATGGGGCAGTAGATGTTCACCAGCTCTTGGCCCTTCTTCACACTGACACCTGCAGACACAGGAGGTGGGTGAAGTTCTGAGAGCTCTAGGAAGGTAAAGAAAGGCCCACAGCCTCACAGATCTCCCCCAGCCTACGCTTCATTTTCTCAGACCTGGGAGTCCAGCCCACCTTGGGCCAGGCAGTGCAGACCCAGGCAAAATTGCAGTGTGAGTGGAATATCCTCAAGCACTGCAACCTATCCCACAATGGCTTCTGCGCTTACCTTCCCTAGCTCTCTCCCCACTTGTCCCACCCTTCTGTCCCCCAGGCCCCTCTTTTCTTGAGCAAAGCCCAACTATCAACCCTGACAAAGCTCATGGGCTAACACCCTCCCTTCTTCCTTCTTCACTGATGCCAGAGTTCTATTTCACCTTACTGTTCTCTTTAAGAGGAGCCCTAGTGGCACAGTCGTTAAGTGCTCAGCTGCTAACCGCAGGGTCAGTGGTTTGAACCCACCAGCCACTCTGCAGCAGAAAGATGTAGCATTCTGCTTCCCTAAATATTTACAGCCTCAGAAACCCTACAGGGCATTTCTACTCTGTCCCAGAGGGTCCCTATGAGTTGGAATCGACTCCATGGCAATGGTTTTGGTTTGGTTTGATTCTCTTTAAAACCCTTCAAGGACACCTCAGATTTATAACATGCCTTGTAGCAGCCTTCCATGATCTGGTCCCTTCTGTGTGCGCAGCCTCATCTCTTGCTACTCTTATGGAACTATTAGGTAGAACCATGTGAAACAACGGACATTCGACCATTTTTTGGACCTGTAAAAACTGATGTTTCTTATAGTTCAACCTAACACTCTCAGATGCCTGGAAATGCTCAGCTCTTTCATACCTCCATGGCTTCGCACATGCTGTTCCCTGCCTGGAACAACTTCCTTCACCCTGACCACTGGCTAGCTTCTCAGCCTTTATGATGTGGCTCAGACACCTCTGCCTCTGTGAGGCCTTCCCTGTTCCACCATCCTCTATGTCACCTCCATCCCAAGCATATGTGTCGACTGTGGAACTTATATTGCAATAATGTTCCCTATGTAGTTGGAAACTTCTTGAGTTAGAGATTGGCACTTATTTTTGTTTTTGTCTGTATCTTTTATTGCCTGGCACATGGAAAACACAAGTATGTTCTGAATTGAATTTAACTGAATTGATCAGTTGACCTGCTCTTGGACCCTTTTCAGCTGAAAGGAGAACTTGCTCACAGACATCAGAGAAAATATTGCACAACTGCCACCTCTCTCTCACTACCCAGCAACCTCTTGATCTCTTTTACAAATACATTCTCAGACCTCACTGATGGCCTTTTCTCCCTTGTTCTGTTGTGAACTGGCCCACTGACTCACCACCTACTCCTTCAAAGGTTCCTCTGGGGAGTTCACCATCATGCCAGCCCTGTATCCTCAGGCCTCTTGGTTCCCTTCCCTGCTGCTTCTCAATCAGCCCCTAGACACGGATGGCCTGTTCTGTTTGCCATAGTCCATTGTTGCACAGACGGCCTCCTCAAAGAGTTAATCCGCTGTGGGATCTGACTCTCTGTGCAGGTAACAGCACCAACCTGAGTCAGGACAATGAGATTCTAGGTCCTCCTCTGCCATTACAGGTGAGGGCAGGGTACTCTGCTGGCCTCCATACTGCCCTGGGGAGTGCTCAGGTGACTCACTCATTCCAGCCCTCCCTGAACCAACATTTATTAAACTTCTTTTAAGAGCTAGGTGGTGCAAATGGTTTGCGCTGAACTACTAACTTAAAGGTTGGCAGTTCAAACCCACCCAGTGGTACTTCAGAAGAAAGTTCTGGCAATCTGCTTCCATAAAGATTAAGCCAAGGACTTCCAGCAAGATGGCGCTCTAGGCAGAAACACCACGCCGTCCCTCCACAACAAAGATCGGAAAAACTAAGCCAAACAGAGAATCAACAATCCTGAAACCCTAGAACATCAAATGAAGAGATAAAGAACTCAGCCGAACACCAAACGGAGTAAGAA